AATGGGTTAGTTTGAGATATAAGAGCTGGCTAGCAAGAAGCTTGAGCCATGGCCATGGCCATGCAATTTATAATTGATATAAGCCTCTGTGTGTTAACTTGGGTCTGAGCAGTTGCAGGACCTGGTGGGACACAGGAATTTTATAAATGGCTGTGGGACCTTGGTGCCAAGCGAGACCAGGAAAACTTCTTGCTACAGTTTTATGTCAACTTGACACAAGTTAAAGTCATCTGAGAGGAAGGAGCCTCAATTAAGAAAATGCCTCCATAAGATTGGGCTGTATGCAAGTCTGTAGAACATTTTTGTAATTACTGATTGATGTGGAAGGGCCCAGACCATTGTGGGTAATGCTGTCCCTGGGCTGGGGTCCTGGGTTCTATAAGAAAGCAGGCTGAGGTCAGTGGTGGTGGTGGTGCACACTTTTAATCCCAACTCTTGGAAAGCAGAGGCAAGCAGATCTCTGTGAGTTTGAGGCTAGCCTGGTCTACACAGTGAGTTCCAGGACAGCTAGGGCTATAACAGTGAAAACCCTGTCTTGAAAACCCAAAAACAAGAAAAAAAAAAGAGAAAGCAAGCTGAGTAAACCATGTGGAGCAAGTCAGTAATCAGCTGGCTTCTGCACCAGCTCCTGCCTCTAGGTTCCTGCCCTGTTTGAGTTCCTGTCCCAACTTCCTCCAATGATGGACTGTGATGTGGAAGAGTAAGCCAAATAAACCCTTTCCTCCCCAACTTGCTTTTGGTCATGATGTTTCTTCACAGCAATAGAAACCGTGAGTAGGACATGCAGCCTCTGAACCTCCTGGTATTAAGGGCTTTCCAGACACAATGACTATGGCCCCAGAGCCTGAGACAAAGTGTGTCTTATTTGACCCAGCGGGGAAAGGACAGAAACCTGAACATGAAATCTCTGGATTATTTAAATATATGTATCCTTCTCTGGACACTGTCACCCTGTATTCTCGCTTGCAATAAAACTGCTGTGTGGTTATAAATGGTCTGAGGTCTGTGCCCAGTTTCAGCAATCAGCAATGGAACACTTAAAGTAATTGATACAATTAATGCGCAGAGCATGGAGGACAAGCAGACAGAGATCTCTTGGGGGAAAGGCTTATTTATTTATTCAGTCTTTATTGAGTGTTTACTGGTTTAAAAAATCTCACTAGGCAACTGGCAGACAAAAATAATTCAGACGTGACCCTTGATCATAAGAGGTTCACATTGGGAAGAAAAATATATAGACAGACAAACCAAAGCTCACAATCTGTGATAACAACTGCCAGAGGAGGGGTTTGCAAAACCAAGGAGAAAGAGGATAAATTATTCTGAGGGAGTTTTTACCGCTTTTGTATTTGCACTTAGAGAAGATGGGTGTGAGTTACCAAGAAGCAGAGAAGACAGCGCAGAGACACACGCACTCCAAAACCAGGAATTATAACTCTTCATCAATAAAGAGCGATTTAAACAAACTACATATGTGCAGCTGAATACCGTCTAGATACTGCCTTAAATTGCACTGAAAAGCAAAAGAATATTCTCTAAATTATCTACATTAATGTGTGTGCACATGCATTTGTGTGTACATATATGTGCATGTGTGTGTATGTGTGTGCAATGCATATATGTATACACGCATGTGAGGGCATGTATGTGCATGTATGTATGTGTGTGTACATGTATGTGTGTCTGTGTGTGTGATTTTTAGTCCTATTTGAGAAATGACTTAATTATAATAACATTGTTTAGCCATACTCAATGAGGTAAAAGCAGTAATATGAAGACAATTTTCCAAAGGATTAAAAACATGAAGTCACAAATTTAAGGTGCTTATGAACACAAAACAATAAAAATAAAGAAATCATATTACACGTATAAGATTGGTAAAGGCAAAAGGCAAAGGATCAGTCCTGAAAGATGACATCTAGATCAATAAAATAGCATCAAAAGACCAGAGATCAACCCTTGCATTTATGATAGGTTGATTCACGGGAAATGTCAGGAAAATTCAAGTGAATATTCTTTTCAACAAGTGAGTTAGCCATCCATATGCAAAAAAAAATGAATCTGAGCCCCCCCCCACACCACATGCAAAAATTTACTCAAAATGGATCATAGTTCTACCTACAATAGCTACAGCTATAACATTTTAAAAATATGAGTAAATTTCATGATCACACGTCAGGCAGTGACATCCTAGGTAGAACACCAAAATCAGAACAGGCAGAAGACAATACAAATGGACGAGATGTTATCATGGGAGCATTTGTGTTTCAAAGGCATCAACAAACTGAAGAGAAAACCAACACAATGAAGCGAGTGTTTATAAATAATGCATGTGGTAAGAGGCTTGAATCCAGAATGTTAAAGGGGTCTTATACCTTATAAAAAGACAAATAACTTCTAAGTTCTTGATATGGAAAAGAGTTTCTCCAAAGACAGTAAGTTTGCCAGTAAGCACATAAAAAGACGCCCAGCACCATTGGTTATTGGGAAAGAGCAATGAAAATACAAAAATAAATAAATAAATAAACTTCACATCTAGCAGGATGGCTAAGATATAAGGTTTGTGGGAAACCGTGACCTTCAAATCACGCTGGCCATAGGTTTCTATTTGGCAAAACAGTTCATACCATTAAACCTAGAGGTAGCATATGGCCCAGCAACTCTACCCCTAGGTATATACAAAAAGAAGAAGAAGAATTACAGTATACATGAGCACAAACACTTGCATATGAATGTTCATAGTAGTGCAATGTTCAAAAACTGTGGAAAGTCCCAGCATATGTCAATGACTAATGGGAAAGCAGAATTTTCAGTGTCCTTTTGATGGATCATCTGACAATATGAGACGCTGACGGCAGAGAGATTGGGGGCATAAAAGGCCACACTTTGCATTAATCAATTTAGATGAAACATCCAGAATGAACGAACTCAGGGAAAGCAACACAACAGCCCAGGGTTAAGTCAAGGGGTGGGCAGGGTCCCTAGATGCAGACAGGTGGTCTCCTTTAGACTAACCAAGAAAATTCCTGACATGGCTGGAGAGATGGCTCAGTGGTTGTTAAGAATGAATAATGATCTTGCAGCGGATCTAGATCTCTTCTGGCCTTCACAGGACCTTGCACTAACATGCACATAAAAACACATGCATACATACATACATACATGCACACACATACATACAGACATACACACATACATACATACATACACACAGTTAGAAAATGTGTGAGAAACATTTTTTAAAGTCATGAAATTAAATATTGGTGCTGGCTGCTCAACTCTGATTATATATATATTTTTGTTTTGTTTTGTTTTGTTTTTCGAGACAGGGTTTCTCTGTGAAGCTTTGCGCCGTTCCTGGATCTGGCTCTGTAGCCCAGGCTGGCCTCGAACTCACAAAGATCCGCCTGCCTCTGCCTCCCGAGTGCTGGGATTAAAGGCGTGCGCCACCACCACCCGGCCAACTCTGATTATATTAAACATTGACTCACACATTTTACAATTTTATGACACATGAATTTTGTGGTACGCTAACATGATCTCCAAAAGGTGATTACTGAAAAAGAAAAACTAATTAAGACAAAAATAGAAATGATGCGCAAACAAAATTAATAATAAAAACGTCAAGCTATAGTATATCATCAAGATATAAAAATTCAATCAAGTAATATTTTTAAAACACTTTACGGTAATGCATTTAAAACTGTTAGTGAACTGCACCAGTATTTGGGGAAACAAGCCTTATCCATAACGGTACGTGAGGAAACAGGCCGAAGACTGACCGCCTGAGTGCAATCCCCAGGACACAGGTGTGGGAGCGAGAGCATCAACTCCTGCAAGTTGTCCTCTGACCTCCTCTCATGTGCCCTGAAACATGCAAGTCCATACATACACATTAAATAAAATAAAATAAAACTTATAAAAGTTGAGAAAAAATATAATTTGTTGATAATATGATACATAGCTAGAAAACCCAAATAACTTAGAGAGAAGTCATTGAACTGATAACAGAAAAAATTCAAGAATAAAGGCTCAAGAAAGAAGAAAAACAAATGTACGAACACAGCATTGTGATAGTAAACAATGCATTAACTTGAGCAGGTCATGGGCTAGCAGATGGTTGTTAAACACTGTTTGGGGGGGGGGGTGTGCTCCTAGATGAGATCGGCATTGGAATCAGTGGGCCCAGAAGAGCAGTTCCTCTCTAATGTGGGCCTATAAATCACTTACGCATATGGTGAGTTCTAGGTTAGCCCAGGCTATCTGGTGAGTTCTAGGCCAGCCCAGGCTATATAGTGAGTTTTAGGCCAGCCTAGGCTATATGGTGAATTCTAGGTTATCCCAGGCTATCTGGTGAGTTCTAGGCTAGCCCAGGCTATATAGTGAGTTTTAGGCCAGCCTAGGCTATATGGTGAATTCTAGGTTATCCCAGGCTATCTGGTGAGTTCTAGGCTAGCCCAGGCTATATAGTGAGTTTTAGGCCAACCCAGGCTATATGGTGAGTTCTAGGCCAGCTTCGGGCTGCACAGTACAATCTCAGGGTGGGGTCAGAGGCAGAGACGAGGAGGCCAGGTAAGAAGTAACTGTCACAAACAAGGGATCTCTATTGGACTATAAGTAAATTTTACTTTTTAGCAGAAAATGTACAAGCTACATGAAAGCAAAATGATACATTCAAACCAGCTAAAAGATTTTGAAATTTTTTCTAAGATGGGTTTTATTGCATCTTGTTATGCCATTCAGTTCATATCCCCGGGAGGCCTGCTCTTTTCTGAAGGGGAACAAACAGAGGAGCAGTGGATCTTGGGAAAGGTGAGGTGGGGGGAACTGGGAGGAAGGGGGAAGGGAATATGTGGTGGGGACTATTGTGTGAAAGAAGAATAAATAAAAAGAGGGAAAAAAAGATGAGTTTGGTGGTGTGTACCTGTAGTGTTGAGAGAGTGCCTCCAGCAGCACCTGGGAAACTATGCCAAGAGGATCAGAAATCCAAGGGCATCCTCATCACTTCCTAGCCTTCTGACTAAGATGCAGTGCAAATCTGATCTCATCGGTTTAACACTGGTTGGGTCCTCCAGCCAAAGACAACATATGAAATGATTTTTAGAGCTAATCAATAGAACAGAAAATGGTTCCCTCCACTATACCCCTTGACCTGATACTGCAGAACCTCCAGGGTTGATGCATACTCTAGGGGAAGACTAATATCGTAAAGCAGTATTAAAGATATAAGAAAAAAAACTGTTTAATGCCTTTCAAAAGAATGCAAGAGAGCACTAAAGCCAAGATGAGGCGCTTCATCTCCACCGATCCTACTTATAAGAAATGCTGAAGAGCGTCTTCCAGTTGAAATAAAACAGAATTAAATAACAAAACAATCAAGTAAGAAAGTGGAGCACTCCCTAGTGGAAGAAAACATGAAAAGTGCTATACTACTGTGGGCCCTCGACACGGTTCAGCAGGTGAAGGAGCTTCCTGCCACACCTGTCAATCTGAGTTCAGTGCCCAGGATCCACGTGGGGGAAGGTGGGAGACCAACTCCCAAGTCGTCCTCTGGCCCTCCACATGTAACTGGAAATGTTTAAAAGAGTGCTGCACTGTCATAATAGAGGCAAGGAAATTACTTTTAATTCGACTATAAAAGTTAAAAGAAGGGGCTGGAGAGATGGCTCAGAGGTTAAGAGCACTGGCTGCTCTTCCAGAGGTCCTGAGTTCAATTCCCAGCACCCACATGGTGGCTCACAACCATCTATAATGAGATCTGGTACCCTCTTCATGAATGCAGGAGTATATGCAGCCAGATTATATACTGTACAATAAATAAATAAATAAATAAAAAGTTAAAAGACAAAAGTGCTAAAAGAATAAAACAAATTACATTAGTGGATAGGTAATGTAAGCAGATATAAATGGAGATCAGTGGCAATCCTGGGGGGGGGGGGGGGACATGTGCAATTGCACATGCTAGTGAAGCTGTTACCCTCTTAGAATGCACTGTTACCTCTATATGCTACTCTGTGGCAGCCCTGCGGCAACCACAGAGAAGGTATCTGTAGATATCATGTGAAAGGAAAAGGATACCAAGCATATCAATACAAAAAAAACACTGAAAGAAAGTCATGACAGTGAGAGACCAGGGACACAAGAACTATGTGACAGACAGAAAACAGTTCTGAGGACAACAGGGAAGCCCCCTTGTCAATAATTACTTTAAACTTGAGTGGATTATGCTCCTCAAACAAAAGACATATAGAGCGGTTAAATCAATCAAAAACAGATTCGATTACATAGTGCATACAAGAGACTCACTTTTGATTTCAGGACAGCTTGGGCTGAAAGAAAAGAGAAAAGGAAAAATATTCCATGCAAATGGCAACCAAATGAGAGCAGGGTGGCCATCTTTCTGTCAGACAAGACAGACTTCAAGTCCAAGGTAAAGACTTCCAGAAGACACTGAGGACTCTTTATAGTGATAAAACTATCAAACCATCAAGACAAAACAATTACAACTACGTATGTACCCGGTATAGAGTAACAGCTCGGTGGTTGAGAGCAGGGGCTGTTCCTCAATTCCCAGCCCCTACATGGTGGCTCACAACTGGCTGTAACTCCAGTTCCAGGATACACACGTAGTGTGTAGTAGACATACATGCAGTCAAAACACCTATGCACAAAAAATAAACAAAAAATTTAATTTAAATTAAAAAAAATATTGAAATAAGCCAGACATGAGGTGAGTACCTATAATCCTGTCACTCTAGAAACTAAGACAGAAAAAATGCCAAGAGCTCAGTGTCAGTGGGACTTCATAATAAGTACTAGGCTAGCCAGGGTTACAGAGCAAGAAGTGTGAGTGTGTGTGTGTGTGTGTGTGTGTGTGTGTGTGTGTGTGTGTGTGCGTGTGTGTGTGTGTGTGTGTGTGTGTGTGTGAGTGTGTGTGTGTGTGTGCGTGTGTTGTATGAGAGGAGAAGTATTGTATGAAAGAATAAATAAAAGAAAAAATAAATTAACCTACCTAGAGATGTAATTTTGAAGAAGCTGATGAAATAAGGGATAAAATTAGGAATTGTGTGACTGTGTGTGTGTCTGTGTGTGTGTGTCTCTGTGTGTGTCTGTGTCTGTGTGTAATCTCCGCCTTGATGTAACTTTAGAACTTAAGATAGGAATATTTAACAATATAGTATTAGCAGGAATTTCAGTTCCCCGGTCTCAATAATAGCTAAGTAAACCAGAGCAGAAACAGGGGACTCATAGATCCAGGATATACAAACTTCCAAACAACATCAGAATCAGAATATGTAATCTTAAGTGCACGTGAAACCTTCTGTAGGATAGAGCATCTTAAAAACAGAGCAGTGGGTGCCAGAGCCCAAGAGAAAACAGAGAAGCAAAACAGGTAAACTCCTGACTGGGTGGCATGAGAAAATTCTGGATGAGATGCACAGTCCTTTATCTGGGGAGAGTAATACTGTGCTCACATACAGCTTTTCAAATCTTCTTGCCAAACTGGAAAAACCATAATAGTATTGAAGAAACAGCAACTTGCTGTGCTGTGCTACATTAAAAGTCAGAAGTTCTGTTTCTCAAATGAACCAGGAGAACTAAGCATGGTAGTGCACACCTGTAAACCCAGCTCCTGAGGGGCTGAAGCTGGAGGATCAAGAGTTCGAGGCCAGTCTAGGCTACATAGTGAATGATCCTGCAAGAAGGAAGGGAGGGAGGGAGGGAGGTTGGCTGAGAGAGTGAAAGGGAAAGGTCTAAAGAAAAAAAGCAATAGGGTATCACATATTAGAGTGACCATTATAATGCAATTCTATTTCTCCCCTCCCTTTTCTCCCTACAAACCCTCCCATATACCTCTCCTTGCTCTCTTTCAAATTCATGGTATCTTTTTCATTGATTGCTATTCCATGTGTATACACACACACACACACACCATATGCATGCACAGACTCTTATATACCTAGATACACCCTGCTCAGCCTGTATACTGTTACTCGTGTGTGTGTTTTCAGGGCTGATCGTTGGGTATTGGATAACCAAATACTGAGCTTTTTCCTGGAGAACACCACCTTTCCTGTTCCCAGTTTGTCTCAGTTGCCTGTGGTTCTTTGTGTAGGAATGAGGCCTTGTGTGCCTTTCCCAGTCCACTTTGACGTGTCACTGTTGTCCTTGCTCCGCACATACTTAGGCAGTCACACAGGTGAGACTTCACTGCTGTAGCTTCTGATTATACAATCTCGCCACAAACTCCCTGATTTTCTGGCTCTTATAACCGTCCCATCCTCTCTTCCACTGTGTTCCCCCAGCCTTAGCTACAGAGTGTCTGTAAATGTATCAGTTGGGACTGGGTTTCACGACTCTGCATTTTGATTGGTTGTACATGTATCCATTGGGATTGGGCTTCACAACTCTGCATTTTAATTGGTTGTCATTTGCTGTAGTGATCTCCATCTGTTACAAAGAGAACCTTTGTAGTTAGAAGTTTTCCTGTGTCCCACAGCTGCTTATAAAATAATCACTCAGAAGCTTATATTAATTATAACTGCTTGGCCATTAGCTCAGGCTTATTACTGACTAGCTCTTACACTTAAATTAACCCATAATTCTTATTTATGTTTAGCCACGTGGCTTGGTACCTTTTTTCAGTTCTGCCTTGTCATCTTGCTTCCTCTGTGTCTGGCTGGTGACTCCTGACTCAGCCCTTCCTCTTCCCAGAATTCTCCTCATCTGCTTACTCCACCTATATTTCCTGCCTGGCTACTTGCCAATCAGTGTTTTATTTATCAACCAATTAGAACAACACACATTCACAGCATACAGAATGACATCCCACAGCAAACCTTCTTTGTCAGGCAGTGGTGGTGTGAACTTTTAATCCCAGCACTCGGGAGGCAGAGGCAGGCAGATCTCTGAGTTCACAGCCAGCCTGGTCTACAGAGCTAGTTTCAGGACAGCCAGGTCTACACAGAGGAACCTTGTCTAGGGGTGAGGCTTCCTTGATAAGTGGTAATGGCCACCCTTACCTTAGGGTATAAGACAAATGTTTAGTTTGTTAAGATTGTGAGAAAAAAGAAGAAAAAAAACTTGCGGTTAACAGGGAATTCAAAGATAAATGGTCTGTAAAATGTACATTATATCTATCAGGTCCTCCTATGCCTCCACCAAGATAGGTGGGGTTAAGTCTGGTAATTCCACATAATGTCATGGTCATGAAGCCACTGAGGGACTGTGAATTGGCACAGTGGCTGTGCTGGCTAGGCTTGCAACTCTCTCATAGAACCCCTGACCAAAGCAACTTCAGGAATGGACAGCTTTGTTTTGGCTCACTGTCCCGATGGCTCACCTCCAGGGTCTGCTGAATATACTGATTACTGTGGGCCTGCCATGAGGCCCGAAATCATGGTGAAGAGAGCATATGGCAGAGCAGGTTGTTCACATTCCAACAGCAGGAAACACGGAGAACAAATAGGAAGGAACCAGAGCAAGATTTACCATTCAAAGACCCAGCCCCCACCTCCTAAGTGTGAACCAAATCGCCTATCAATAGTGCCTCCAACTGGGTGCTACTCAATCCTCAAAGTGAGTCTTTATCATACCCAAATCGCTGCAACTGCTGAGAAAAAGAACTTAGCAGAATCTACACAATTAAGCACAGAGCAGCTATTTGATGTAGCAATTCCATTCTTAGGTATGTGGATAGCTGCAGGGAATGCAAATGTACATAGCAAAATACATGCACAAAAATATTGACAGAAGCATTATTCGTAACTGCCGAATACCATAGATTACACAGACGCTATACAAAAGAGGTGGCTTGTTATTTTTAAAGTGCTGCTATCAGGACAATTAGGGGAAATCAGAGGATTACAGGACATTACAGAAGTCTGGCAATGGAATAGACAGTGGTCCTGGATCACATAAATGCCTTTATTAATGTAGTCGAGTCATGGCCCTTCCTTAACTTACCAGTTGCTGATGCTTTCGTTAAGCCCTAAAGATTTTCTGCTCAAATCCACGGAGCAGTCTTGTAAGCTTTGCTCCCGTTCATCCTCACTCTCGGAGTGAGCTTTCTAAACACAAAGCTTTTTTGATGTCCCAGTGCCTGATTGGTTTCACTTCCGTCCTGACCTGGCTAGCCATGTTCAGCCAAGCTATCTTCTCACCAGAGAGACAAAGGAGACCAGCTGAG